AACAGAGCAACGCTCTAATGCAAAAAAAAAAAAAAAAAAAAAGAAAAAGAAAGAAAGAAAGAAAGAAAAGAAATGTTGCCAGGCACAGTGGCTCACACCTGTGATCCCAGCACTTTGGGAGGCTGAGGAGGGCAGATCACAAGGTTAGGAGTTTGAAATCAGCCTGGTCAACAAGGCGAAACTTCGTCTCTACTAAAAATACAAAAATTAGGCTGGGTGTGGTGGCTCACACCTGTAATCCCAGTATTTTGGGAGGCTGAGGTGAGTGGATCACGAGGTCAGGAGTTCAAGACCAGCCTGACCAACATGGTGAAACCCCATCTCTACTAAAAACTACAAAAATTACCTGGGTGTGCTGGCATGTGCCCATAATCCCAGCTACTCAGGAGGCTGAGGCAGGAGAATCGCTTGAAGTTGGGAAGTGGAGGTTGCAGTGAGCCAAGAATGCACCACTGCACTACTCCAGCCTAAGTGACAGAGTGAGAATCTGTCAAAAAAACAAAAAACAAGCAATGTCTAAGAAACTGTCATGGCACCAATAAGAAAACATGACAACTAAAAAATATTATTGTGAGAAAAAATATATAATTGGTCAAGTCAAGATGGGGCTGAGTATCATGGTACATGCCTGCAGTCCCAACTACTCAGGAGGCTGAGGTGGGAGGGTAACTTGAGCCTAGGAGTTCAAGTCCAGCCTGGGTAACATAGCAAGACCCTGTCTCTATTGAAAATAGTAGTCAAGATGGAAACTCATATTTAGTGATTTAGTTTGACCAGAGAATATAATTACAGAGGTCCTGACTTCATGACTCCCTGTTATTCACAGCCTCCAGCCTACACACAGCCATGCAGCCATCTCCATCCTGGAATTCTCTAGCTCAAAACCCAATATGCTCCTAAATGTCTCAAATCTAACTCCTCTGCCTGGCAGTCAGGCAGAAAAAGGAACAGTGTCATCAAGTTCTCGCTCCAGCTCATTTATTCACTTTGTAACCTTGGGAAAGTTCCCCTAACTTCCTTTTTCTTATTTGTAAAATAAGATGTTTTAACTATATGCTCTTTAATGTCCATTTTAGCTATAAATTCCAGTTGGTCAAGCAACTGTATAGCTCACAGTGGCTCAGCTTTTCTACCAGTCAAACAACCCTCCAAGCTCCTTCCCACAGCCTACAAGGTGCTATATGGACTCTACCTCCCTTTTTGGCTCATCTTACTCCCTTATCCTACACATCTCTCTATCTCACTCTCTCTTCTCAGGCTAGAATAGCCTCCTGTTAGTTCCTCCAAAATGCCAGGCTCCCTCCTGCTAAAGAGCCTTCCCATACACTGCACCCCTACATCCCAGCAGCCTTTCACCTTCAGCCATGTTGGACCCAATGCTTCCTTTTTAAAAATAATAAATATTTCATAACATCCTCTTTACCATTTGAAACAAAATGCATACATAATACAAACTAAACATAATTTTAGTAACATAAATGTATATGTTATATAGTCTTAACTGTAACATAAAGAAGAAATAAAAGAAATATTACTTAGTACAAAATTATATATACACTAATGGTAAATGCTCTTGTATGACTACATTAGAAGTCATAAGAAGGTAGTCGAAGCTTGAACCTAAACTTAAAAATACTGAATATGACAGTTAGAAAGACAGACTGAGGGCCGGGCGCGGTGGCTCAAGCCTGTAGTCCCAGCACTTTGGGAGGCCGAGGCGGGTGGATCACGAGGTCAAGAGATCGAGACCATCCTGGTCAACATGGTGAAACCCCGTCTCTACTAAAAATACAAAAAATTAGCTGGGCATGGTGGCGCGTGCCTGTAGTCCCAGCTACTCAGGAGGCTGAGGCAGGAGAATTGCCTGAACCCAGGAGGCGGAGGTTGCGGTGAGCCGAGATCGCGCCATTGCACTCCAGCCTGGGTAACAAGAGCGAAACTCCGTCTCAAAAAAAAAAAAAAAAGAAAGACAGACTGAGGCCAGGCACGATGGCTCACGCCTGTAGTCCTAGCACTTTGGGAGGACGAAGTGGGTGGATCACCTGAGGTCAGGAGTTCGAGACCAGCCTGACCAACATGAAGAAACCCCAACTCTACTAAAAATACAGAATTAGCCGGGTGTAGTGGCACATGCCTGTAATCCCACCTACTTGGGAGGCTGAGGCAGGAGAATCGCTTGAACCCAGGAGGCAGAGGTTGCAGTGAGCCAAGATTGCACCATTGCACTCCAGCCTGGGTGAAAGAGAGAGAGTCTAATCAAAAAAAAAAAAAAAAAAAAAAAGGCAGATTGATGGGCACATATTATCTTGGTGATTAAATATCACTACTAACATATGCCAATGGTAATTATGAATTTTAAAAAGATAACTCTTGGTAAAGCTCTGAACAAACCAAAACATAATATCCTCCAAAGAAGGTGCATTCTGGGAAAACTGAGTACTAAAGCCATACTATTTTTTGCCGGGTACAGTGGCTCACACCTGTAATCCTAGCACTTTGGGAGGCTGACATAGGTGGATCACAAGGTCAGGAGTTCAAGACCTGCCTGGCCAAGACGGTGAAACCCCCTCTCTACTAAAAATACAAAAATTGGCCAGGCGTGGTGGCATGCGCCTGTAGTCCCCGCTGCTTGGGAGGCTGAGGCAGAGAACTGCTTGAACCCAGGAGGCGGAGGCTGCATCGAGTGGAGGTTGCATCGAGCAGAGGTCATACCACTGCACTCCAGCCTGGGCAACAGAGCAAGACTCCATCTCAAAAAAAAAAAAAAAAAAAGGAAAAAAATTAAAACCATGACACTTCTGTTTATGTGTAAAATGAAGTTAGCACTTAGGCCAATGGTTTCAACCTGGGCTATACATTAGAGTAAGGAGGAATTTTTTTTTTTTCTGAGACAGAGTCTCACTCTGTCGCTAGGCTGGAGTGCAGTGGTGTAATATCGGCTCACTGCAACCTCTGCCGCCTGGGTTCAAGCAATTCCCCTGCCTCAGTCTCCTGAATGGCTGGGATTACAGGTGCCTGCCACTGTGCCCAACTAATTTTCGTAGTTTTTAGTAGAGATGGGGTTTCACCATCTTGGCCAGGCTGATCTTGAACTCCTGACCTCGTGATCCACCCGCCTGGGCCTCCCAAAGTGCTGGAATTACAGGAGTGAGCCACCAAGCCTTGCCAAGAAGAAAATTTTTAAATAATACTGATGCCAGGGTATCAACTCAAAGATTTTTATGTAATTCATATGAGGTACAGCCTCATCATCTTTAGAAAACTTCCCAAGTAGGCCAGGCATGGTGGCTTACACTTGTAATCTTGACACTTTGGGAGGCCAAAGTGGGCAGATCACCTGAGACCAGGAGTTTGAGACTAGTATGGGCAACATGGCAAAACCTCATTTTCACTAAAAATACAAAAATTAGCCGGGCATGATCACAAGTGTCTGTAGTCCCTAACTACTTGGGTGGCTGAGGCAGGAGAATCACTTGAACCCAAGGCAGAGGCTGCAGTAAGCTGAGATTGTGCCACTGCACTCCAGCCTGAGCAATAGAGCGAGACTCTGACTCAATAAATAAATAAATAAAACCTTCTCAAGTGATTTTAATGTGCAGCCAGAGTTGAGATCCACTGTTACAGACTAAAACAAATAGGTTTTCACCTACGTGAAGTGAAAATTGATGATCTTACAGTACACAAAACAAATCTTTGCTTTACAAGACTGTTGTGCACTTTATATTACTAAGGCTAACATGACTGGCCTTTTCACACTAAATACTAATACATCCCCCAATAATTGTACAAGCTATAATCGTCCCCTGCATCATTTCTGAAACAGTCCCTAAACATCAGTCTCAACCCCAGATGAGAACCACTGACCTAAATAATTCACCCTTCCACATCTCAATTCAAACATCACCTCCACTAAAAAACCTACCCTAAACCTCCAGACCACATCAGGATTTCCTGTTACAATATTATTACATTACTCATTAACAGGAATAAATGTAATAATAATGATAGTATTCCCCACATAATATAACCACACCTTTTTTTTTTTTTTTTTTTTTATTTTTTTTGTTGTGTTGAGACGGAGGAGTTTTGCTCTTGTTGGCTCAGGCTGGGGCTGGAGTGAAATGGTGTGATCTCAGCTCACAGCAACCTCTGCCTCCTGGGTTCAAGCAATTCTCCTGCCTCAGCCTCCCAAGTAACTGGGATTATAGGCACCTGCCACCACACCTGGCTTATTTATTTATTTTTTTTTTGAGATTAAGTTTTGCTCTTGTTGTCTAGGTCGGAGTGCAATGGCACGATCTCAGCTCATTGCAACCTCCTCCTCCTAGGTTCAAGCAATTCTCCTGCCTCAGCCTCCCCAGTAGCTGGGATTACAGGCACGTGCCACCATGCCCAGCTAATTTTTGTATTTTTAGTAGAGACGGGGTTTTACCATGTTGGCCAGGCTAGTCTTGAACTCCTGACCTCAAGTGACCCGCCCACCTCGGCCTCCCAAAGTGCTGGAATTATAGGGGTGAGCCACCAAGCCCAGCTGCTCTTAGTGGTTTTTTAAACTAAATCATTTATGTAGTAAAATGATTCCATATCAATACATAAATGCTTTCTTCATTCTATTTGTTTATTTATTTATTTATTTATTTTTTGAGATGGAGTCTTGCTCTGTTGCCCAGGCTGGAGTGCAGTGGCGCAATTTCAGTTCACTACAACCCCCCGCCTCCTGTGTTCAAGCAATTCTCCTGCCTCAGCCTCCTGAGCAGTTGGGATTACAGGTGCGCACCACCATACCTGGCCAATTTTTGTACTTGTTAGTAGAGACAGGGTTTCACCATGTTGGCCAGGTGGTCTCAAACTACTGACCTCAGATGATCCACCTGGTTTGGCCTCCCAGAGTGCTGGGATTACAGTTCTGAGCCACTGTGCCCGGCCCATTTTCTTCATTCTTTTAATGGCTACAGGGCATTCAATCATAGAATGTCCTATTTTTTTTTTTTTTTTTGAGATTTAGCTTGTGCTAAATCATTTTTCTAAACTGTAGCTCTGAGGCATTTTATTATAAAAAGTTAATACTCATATACATAAACTAATACGAACTTAAAATTCAGGATACATTTACTTCATTTTTTAGCTTGACCTTCTAGTAGATCTTTAGCTTCATTGATTTTGGTTGCTATATAAGGAGCTCCTCCTTTGTCAGGATGATTTAAAAGCATAATTCGTCGATGAGCATCTCTTATTTTCCCTTTATTGGCAGTAGGGCTTACACCTAGTATTAATGCTGCTTCCCATTTTGTCATTCTGGGTTCAAACCCACCTCTGTAACAGCCACCACTAAAGGCAGATTTTGGTAGACTTTGAAAAAGTTGCTTTACCTGAGGCTCCATATGCTTCATGGCTTGCAAAACATAACGGCCTGCAAATCCTGCAGCTGCAATGGTCAGTCCAACTGCTACCATTATACTGGCCATGGCTGCTGCAGCCGGGTTCCCTTGCTTCCACCGGGAGCCTGGCTCATCCCACTGCAGAGATCGCAGCCAACACCCGCACGCCTGGACCACAGAGCGACGCACCCGTGACCGAACACATGTACTAACCACAGAGCACGGGCACCCTACACCTGTCCCATTTTTTTTTAAGTCATTCCCCTAGTGAAAAACATTTAAGTTACTTCAAGAATTTTGCCGTTATAAACAATAATGCAACAAATAGCCTTCGCCATACATCATTTTCCACACATGTCAGTATACATATAGGATAATGCTTACGAAAGACTTAATGGTCAGGGCTGAGCAGAGTAGCTCATGACTGTAATCCCAGCACTTTGGGAGGCCAAAGCGGGTGGCTAACCTGAGGTCAGACATTAGAGACCAGCCTGACCAAAATAGTGAAACCCCATCTCTACTAAAAATATAAAAATAAGCTGGGTGTGGAGGTGTGCACCTGTAATCCCAGCTACTCAGGAAGCTGAGGAGAAATGCTTGAACCCAGGAGATGGAGGTTGCAGTGAGTGAGGATCTCGTGCCACTGCACTCTAGCCTGGGCAACAGAGCAAGACTCTGTCTCAAAAAAAATAAAAAAGAATTAATGGTCAGGAATAGTGCTGCATGCCTAGAGTCCCATCTACTGAGGAGGCTGTGATGGGAGGATCGCTTGAGCCCAGCACTTCCAGGTTATAGTGAGCTATGATCATGCCACTGCACTCCAGCCCGGATGACACAAGACCCGGTCCCTACTAAAAAACAACACCACCTCTACAGAATTAAAGAAACCACTGAGTCAAAGACAATGAATTCTTCATAAGTTATAAGTGAAATGATGTTTGATATTTGGAAAAAATCACAGACAACTATAAAGGAATATATAATACACGGCTAGCTTAGGCTTTGAAAATGATGAAGATTGCGTCCGGGTGCTGTGGCTCATGCCTGTAATCCTGGCACTTTGGGAGGCCGAGGTGGGTGGATCACCTGAGGTCAGGAGTTCAAGACCAGGTTGGCCATCACGGTGAAACCCCACTTTAAAAAAAAAAAAAAAAAGAAAGAAAATGATGAAGATAGGCAATTAAAAGGTAGAAAAGCATGAGTACTGGACCATTATGTATAAATTATGGAGATATTAGACAATACTTATAAGCAGAATGAAGATCTAAAGCCCAGAAGCTCCTCAGTTAGAAAAAATCATAATATCCTGGGTGCAGTGGCATGTGTCTGTAAAATTATTCAAGATGGTAAAACCTCATCTTTACTAAAAATACAAAATTAGCCAGGTGTGGTGGTGCGCGCCTGTAATCCCAGCTACTCAAGAGGCTGAGGCAGGAGAATCACTTGAACCCAGGAGACAGAGGTTGCAGTGAGCTGACATCACGCCACTGCACTCCAGCCTGGGTGAAAGAGCGAGACTACGTCTCAAAAATAATAATTATTATTATACATATATCTGCAGAGACACGTTTTAGTTAACAAATTACATTTTTGTTCAGTTAACATAATGGCAGCAATTTGTAATGGTTTATAAAGCTAGAAGAAAACACTGATTTTAATAGCATCTAGATACAATACCACCCATAGTCCCAGCTACTCAGAAGGCTGAGGTTGGAGGATCATTTGAGCCCAGGAGTTCTAGGCTAGCCTGGGCAACATAGCAAGTCCCCATCCCTAAAAAAATAAAATAAAAATAAACACAAGACCTATACTAAATCAAGAATAAACAATTTTAAGTGGTCATTCTTCAACTATTTAATGAAATATGATGGCTTAAAACAGTTATTGTGTAACTATGTACAAGTAACTTGCCAGATGTAGTAGCAGACTAGCTACAAAAAAAAGCATCTCCTATTTCAAATGGCAGGTCATCAAGTTATTTAATTCCTATAAAAACTATCAATAGGCCGGGCGCGGTGGCTCACGCCTGTAATCCCAGCACTTTGGGAGGCCGAGGCGGGTGGATCACGAGGTCAAGAGATCGAGACCATCCTGGTCAACATGGTGAAACCCCGTCTCTACTAAAAATAAAAAAAATCAGCTGGGCATGGTGGCGCGTGCCTGTAATCCCAGCTACTCAGGAGGCTGAGGCAGGAGAATTGCCTGAACCCAGGAGGCGGAGGTTGCGGTGAGCCGAGATCGCGCCATTGCACTCCAGCCTGGGTAACAAGAGCAAAAAACTCCATCTCAAAAAAAAAAAAAAAAACTATCAATAGACTAACTTATTAAATAAACAGTAAGAAACTTCAAATTGGATTAAATTTATAATTCTGATAATCTGAAATACTGATTACTTAAATCACAGAAGCTCAATCATTTAAGCAAGTAAAGTACAAATGTATCAAAATGGAGTTTGACCTCTTTTTGACAGTTACCTCAAGTTCCTTCCAATGACTCAGCAGGTAAGGAATTCATGGAATTCAGTCTTCAAGGTCTAGCAAGCATTGTAGTTAAACTACCCAGTTAACAGGAAATCATCTGCTGTTTGATGATCTAACTCCTCCATCTTTTCTCAACTTCACAACTGCCATTACTTGTAAATGGCAGAAGGAAATAAATATGAAATCAGTAAATATTATGAATTAGTTATTAGAAATGCAAGAAAAAATTGTGGTCAGGAATGTGGTTAAACTGTAGTTTAAAATAAAGGCTTTGGATTACCCATGGATTTATTTTAATCCATATAATCCTCCCCCTGCAGGCATGGATAATCAGGATCACATTTCCCTTGAGGGCATATCAGCATTTGCCTGGTAGTCTCCCAAATGCCTGAAGCACCAGAAGACCACAAACTACAGGACCAGGGATGCTGTCCTTCTTGGGTTTGCACTATGGAGAATTCTGAGCTGCAGACCTACCTCTAGCAATACTATAGTAAAGGAAATGACTGTTGAGATTAAAATTCTTGATTCTAGCAGTAAGCTACTCCCAGTTAATGGGTCAACCTCAGGTGATCTGCTAAATATCTGAAGAGATATTATAAGAAAATAAGGAGATATGGCCAGATGCAGAGGCTCATGCCTGTAATCCCAGCACTTGGGAGTGGAAGGCCGAGACTGGCAGATCACCTGAGGTCGGGAGTTCAAGACCAGCCTGATCAACATGGAGAAAGCCCTCTGTACTAAAAATATAAAATTAGCCTGGCATGGTGAGGCATGCCTGTAATCCCAGCTACTCGGGAGGCTGAGGTAGGAGAATCACTTGAACCCGGGAGGCAGAGGTTGAGGTGAGCCAAGATGGCACTATTGCACTCCAGCCTGGGGAACAAGAGCAAAACTCTATTTAAAAAAGAAAAAAAAGAAAGAAAAAAGAGGCCAGGCAAGGTAGCTCACACCTGTAATCCTAGCACTTTGGAAGGCTGAGGCGGGTGGATCAACAGGTCAGGAAATTGAGACCATCGTAGCCCACAGGGTGAAATCCCGTCTCAACTAAAAATACAAAAATTAGCATGGTGGTGCATGTCCGTAGTCCTAGCTACTCCGGAGGCCGAGGCAGGAGAATCAAGTGAACCTGGGAGGCGGAGGTTGCAGTGAGCTTCGATCAGGCCACTGCACTCCAGGCTGGCAACAGAGGGGGAAGGGAGGGAGGGGAGGAGGGAAGGAGGAAAGCAGGGAGATGATAGATAGACAGACAGACAGACAGATAAAGAAGACACATTCTCCAAAGAAAAGTGTCACAAAAAGAAAGACCCTAGGCTGGGTGCCAAGGCTCACACCTGTAATCCCAGCACTTTGGGAGGCCAAGGCAGGCCGATCACTTGAGCTCAGGAGTTCGAGACCAGCCTGGGCAACATGGTAAAACCCTGCCTCTACAAAATACCAAAAAAAAAAAAAAAAAAAAATTAGCTGGGCATAGGGGTGCACACCCGTACTACCAGCTACTCGAGAGGTTGGAAGGATCACTTGAGCCTGGGGAGGTCAAGGCTGTAGTGGGCCGTGACTGCACCACTGCACTCCAATCTGGGAGACAGAGCGAGACCTGGTCACCAATTTGGGTGACAGAGTGAGACCCTGTCAAAAAAAAGATTTGAGAAGGCAACTACTGAGACGGTAAAGGACTCCTTCAAGTACGCCTGGGTCTTAGATAAACTGAAAGCTGAGCATAAACATGGTATCACCATTGATATCCCCCTATGGAAATATGAGAACAGCAAGTATTACATGACTATCATTGATACTCCAGGAGACAAAGACTTTATCAATAACATGATTAGAGGGACATCTCATGCAGACTGTGCTGTTCTGATTGTTGCTGCTGGTGCTGAAGAATTTGAAGCTGGTATCTTCAAAAATGGGCAGATCTGTCAGCATGCCCTTCTGGCTTATATACTGAGTATGAAGCAACTAATTGTTGGTGTTTACAAAATGGATGCCACTGAGCCACGCTACAGCCAAGAGATAAGGGGAAATCATTAAGGAAGTCAGCACTTACATTAAGAAAATTGGCTATAAACCTGACACAATAGCATTTGTGCCCATTTCTGGTGGGAACGGTGACAACATGCTGAAGCCAAGTGCTAACATGGGATAGAAAGTCACTCGTGGCCGGGCGCGGTGGCTCACGCCTGTAATCCCAGCACTTTGGGAGGCTGAGGGGGGTGGATCACGAGGTCAAGAGATCAAGAATATCCTGGCCAACATGGTGAAACCCGGTCTCTACTAAAAACACAAAAAAATTAGCTGGGCGTGGTAGCACACACCTGTAGTCCCAGCTACTCGGGAGGCTGAGGCAGGAGAATTGTCTGAACCCGTGAGGTGGAGGCTGCAGTGAGCCGAGATCGAGCCACTGCACTCCAGCCTGGCGCCTGGTGACACAGTAAGACTCTGTCTCAAAAAAAAAAAGAAAGTCACTCGTAAAGACGGCAATGCCAGGAGAAGCATGCTGCTTGAAGCTCTAGACTGCATCCTACCACCAACTCATCCAACTGACAAACCCTTGCATCTGCCTCTCCAGGATGTCTACAAAACTGGTGGTATGAGTACTGTGCCTACGGGCCAAGCGGAAACTGGTGTTCTCATACCCAGGATGGTGGTCATCTTTGCTCCAGTCAATGTTAGAACTGAAGCAGTCTGCTGAAACGCACCATGAAGCTTTGGGTGAAGCGCTTCCCGCGGATAATGCCGGCTTCAACGTCAAGAATGTGTCTATCAAAAATGTTCATCATGGCAACATTGACAGCAAAAATGATCCACCAATGGAAGCAATGCAGCTGGCTTCAATGCTCAGGTGAGTACCCTGAGCCATCCAGGACAAATAAGTGCTGGCTATGTCACTGTACTGGATCGTCACACAGCTCACATTACTTGCAAGTTTGCTAACCTGAAGGAAAAAGATTGATCACCATTCTGGTAAGAAGCTGGAAGATGGCCCTAAATTCTTTTAGTCTGGTGATG